GAGACAGAGAGAGAATGACCAATCCACAAACGATAGACCCGTCGCTATGGTGAGCAAAGCGGGGTCGGATGTGACTGCGCAAATGAACAGAGAGAGAGACAGAGAAAGAGAGAGAAAGAGAGAGAAAGAGAGAGTGAGAGAGAGAGGGAGAGCGTGAGAGAGAGAGAGAGAGAGAGAGAGAGAGAGAGAGAGAGAGAGAGAGAGAGAGAGATCAGCGAGAGAAGGAGAGAGAGAGAGAGATCAGCGAGTGTTGCTGTGCGCCACGGCGTAGCGCCGTAGCCGTGGCGGGGTCCACTTGTGTTCCTAATTTGTATATATGTTCTACTGCTGTCTTTGAAATTAATTGTAATTAATTGTAATTGTTGTAATTAATTGTAATTAGTTGTAATTAATTGTAATTAGGTGTAATAAGTTGTAGTTAGGAGATGTCGTTGCTGTCCTCCTTGATAGTACTAGAGAATGTTTGGTTACAGAGATAGTTCTTTCTGTATATTTTTAGTTTGTGAACTTTGTAGATTCTGTAGTAGAATCATAGAATGTACAATACTAGATAAACAGCAGCATTCGTTTGGCAAAGCTGCACCTGCTTGCAATTTTCTGAACCTGCAGTCCGGTGCCTTAGTTCTGACATGGCAGGCCATAAGCTGGATGATGCTACCAGATACTGGTTTGAACCGGGAGTAATGTTGTTGTTGTTGTTTTAATTCCAAAATGGCTCCAATCTATTCGTGGGGAGCAGCACGTGCTGGGAACGGGGCCCATCGTCCCATACCAATTAGTTGTTCACTCTATTTTGGTATTATCTCACAGGTTTCCTCAAGGTTATCTCTCAACCGAAGCCTGGTAATGGCCCCGGGGCCAAGTCCAAGTTACGCTGATCGTTCATTCTTGGCCATTGATCTTCCTAATCGATGGTTCGACGGCAATTGAGAATTCAGGTAAGTGGGACTTGGCCCCCGGTATGCATATGACATTTCAGAACCAGGAGTGATGTTCAGCACTCCGGCCTAAGTTGATTATGTAACGAGTTTTGAATTTTGAGGGTGAAAAAAAAAATGGCACGCAGTGAACTGAGCTCCCCACTATCATTGAGGGAGGATCTGCATAATGCTGCTAGAGTTTCCGTGATAGGTGAGAGGGAGAGAGATTGCAGGGGTGACAGTAATGAAAGGATGATCCAAGGCAGATGATACTGCCGTCTGATGCCCCATCATCATGACTGAATTTGGACTGCAGCAAGGTCCACATACATTCGTGATGATGGAAACTTAGTTTAAGGGAAAGGAGGAACGGAAACTGTATACACAGTGTATGTGTTCGCAGAGTGTATTTTCTGTGTTGTTTGTGGGCGTACCAACTGGAGCAAACTCGAAGGTGCGTTATTTCGATTCTTTACAAAGCAGACCTATATCGCGGACAACCTAAAACAGCGGAGTCAAAAAAAAAAAAAAAAAAAAAAAAAAAAAAAAACCAGCGGAGTCTCCTAGCTAGAAGCTTTGTGCTGGTGCGCTAAGGCTCGGGAAACTAAATACGGTGGGAGCGCTGGAAATGAGCGTGTGGGCGCTTGAAGGGCCGGAAGCCACGCAGGCGGAATGAGGAGGGGTGGCGCAAGCGGGAGGAAGATGGCATCTGGTTATGAAGAGCGACGTGCGGGAGAGGGAGGCGATGGTTGCAGTGCTGGACGATGGCTATTTACAGTGAAGACACCAAGCGGAGAGGGAGTGGCGCGCTGCCGACGGGCATGCCAGAGCGAAGTCGCCATCGAGAGCAGAATTGACCTAATAGCGCGATGGTGAAAGAAGGGAGGGGGCGACAACGTGAGTCGAAGGGAAGGTATCGAGTGATTTTAATAATTAAAAGGAAAACTAGAATCGAGTACTTGTCCTTGGGTGGCTATAGACCCCACCAATCAATCCTCGCAAGGTAGCGAACTTGCTGTACGCTTATCACAGCCATCTTCAACACCGGTCCTGCTCGTCGCGTCGAATGCTTATCGCAGATGAGGAGTTGGATGTCGCCGTTCATCCTCCTTGATGCGATGCGTGCAATATCTACGCTCCTGTCTTCCAGTCAATAAGAAATAGGGCAAGACTTATGACGTACTGAGGGCATCCTCAGATTCTGCCTACCGCCCAGTCGTTCTCGAGGCGTGGAGAGCGTTCGGGCAAGGGGGGGAGAGAAAGGGTTGGCGGGCAAGGCGAGGACCGGGGAACGGGACAGTCGTACCGGCACACAGGCAAGCAGAGCGTGTGTGCGGTGTGGGTCTGTGCGTGTGTGCAGTGTGTGTGCGCGCGCGCGCGTGTGTGTGTGTGTGTGTGTGTGTGAGAGAGAGAGAGAGAGAGAGAGAGAGAGCCTACTCTCTTGCTTAAGTTTGCCGTGAGACTTTGTTGTCTTTAAAACAAGTAGAAGAGCAAGGGATCAGTTTCTTCAGCACTCAGCGTGCTCGGCTCCTTCCTCCTCGATTTGAGTATTGATGGGCAATAGCCACTCCGGCCTGTTGCCCCCTCAGGGCCCTCACAGCCACGGCCTCCCGTCCCTCTTGCTGCGCACATCACTTACTGTACGGTAATCGACACAGTCGATACGAATACGGAATCTCTCTCTCTCTCTCTCTCTCTCTCTCTCTCTCTCTCTCTCTCTCTCTCTCTCTCTCTCTCTCTCTCTCTCTCTCTCTCTACGCAGATCTTGACTGATAGAGAGATTCAGTCGGGAGGGGCCCTCCTGTAGAGTATGCCTTATTGATCGTCACTTCGAGTCCTACAGGTAGAATCAATTCTCCCTCGCTGAATACACCAACCGTGACTTCAGCTGCTCACAGCCTTGAGAGTAAATTGCATAGGAAATCCTTCACCGCGAGGAGCTAAGTCTTAGGCTGTCCTGAGTCCTCAGCCTTGACCTTCCCGGGGGCCGGGGTGTTCCCGACCTCAGACTATCTCCATTCAGTCCGAAACGGTCTACTATGTGTATGCTCTATTCATCATAATCACTTTGAGTAATACATGTCTTAACTCGCTCCTTCTCAGTACCGACCTCACTTGCCCCGCCCTCACTGCGGGGAAATGGTTATGTAGCGCTTAAGTAACTGTTGCGTATAACGACATCTTAACCCGTGGTTAGGTAACAAGGCGTTGACGATAGCACTATTGTGTTCACCAACTTCACCACCTGTATTCTAAATAATATTATGTAATATACATGTGACGATATATATATATATATATATATATATATCGTCACAAACAGATATATCTATATATATATATAGAGTTTTCCATCTGGTGTGGGTGAGTGATAGTCTACTTTGATTTTGGTTAAGGTAGATTATCATTTACAGTGTAATCAGTGAGGGGATTCTGCAGACTGTTGAGGGTTCAGCCTCCTGATGAGTCGGTGAAACTCCGACGAAACAGTTTGTCACAGCCCCTCGTTTGTTGTCCTCTTCTCCCTCTCTGCCTACGGTTTACCGGGCAGTTCTATTTGACGATATATATATATATATATAACGGACTGCAGTCGTGTTTTTTTCCCGGAACGAGCAGCGGTTGAAACAGGCTGGCCACTTCATCAGCTTGAGGGGAGATTCAAATTGAATGAGGGATGGCTGTTGGTAATAGGATAGGATGGCCGGCCCACTCAGTTGAGTTAACGTAACGGATTCAATTTGTAGTAGTATTGACGGGAACAAGCAGCTGATGAAACGGGCAGGCCATTTTATCACTTTGCGGATAATAGACCTTCAATCGTACGCACAATTGCACTTTTACCAATGAATCTTCTTCGGTTTGCCTTCAGGTACTTCGAGGACTGCGTGAGTATGATGAGTACGCCTTGAGCTGGGTGACACTTACCCTTGGACCACTTCGCAAAGTGGTTGACAAACTTGACATTGACGACTACATTACCACGGTTAGCGGATAGCAAACCCTACACTACATTATACCTACACTCATATGCCTCTGCCTAAAAATAGTCGGGCCGCTATCTAATATCTATTCCGACGGGTTGTGGAGCCTAATCCCGCTCCGAGTAGTTTCGGCGCCGCCTCTCCTACCCTTCCTCCCCCGTTCCCCCTTCCGCTCAGGCTCCTCTAACCACCCCCATTCCTCGGATTCCCTCCCTAGCCTCCCTCCACCCTCCCCCCTAGCGAGCCCCCAAGCCCCCCTCCTCTCCTCTCTCCTCGCCTCCCTCCACCCCCTTTCCGACGTTTCTTCGCAAGGATTTCTCGTTCCGTCTTTTTCTTTCCCGCTTCCCAGCGCCCTCCTCTAAACCCCATTCCCTCCAAGCCTCCCCCCATCGCGAACCCTCAAGCCTCCCTCCTAGCCTCTCTCCTCGCCTCCCTCCACCCCCCTTTCTGACTGTTTCTTCACAAGGCCAGGAGGCCTTTTCTTTTCTTCCCGTCCTATTCGTTCGAAAGGCCTGTAGAGTCATGGCGGAGGCAAAAGGTTCTTGCAAACAGGACGGCGAGGACTTGTGCTCTGATTGTCACAGCAGCAGCGGCGGCAGCGGCAACAGCGGTGGCAATGACAGCGGCGGTGGGGACCACCACCATCCCCCGGCACATGGAACTGTCAGGCCGGCCGTCACCGATGTTAGGTTGAGCGAGAAGGATCCCGACGATCACGTCGGTTATTCCGGCTCCAGGCACGGCGAAGAACTTCTCCGGGAAAGCTATGGCTATGGCGAGGTTGCGGACGTGATGGACGTCATCAAGCTGGTGCGGCAGAAAATTACGGAAGGGCAGGTTGGAATCCGGTCTGCCATGCAGGTTGTGGAGAACGCGTTCAGAACCTGGCGCCGGGTCGGGAACGGCGGTGAAACTCCCCAAGTTGCGTTGTTTCTTACAGAGTTATGGCGGGGGGTATTTATGCCCAAGCCATGGGAGAAGCGGGCCGTGTTTTCGTCACCGGATTCGCTTGAGCAGACCCTGTCACCTTCTTCGTCCTTCAACGAAGTAGAAGCAGCATTTTGTGAGTGCTTCGTGCAGAGGTACAGGCAGCCATACGCGCCGTCGGGCAGAATGAACGCACTGCGAACACTCCTTCGCCTCATTGACAAGGCCTGCGACAGCAACCTCCTCTACCTTCTTCCCCTAAGAGCCGTTGCACTGCTAGACATACAGATGCTTTGCTACTGTCGGAATCAGCGCGACCAAGAATGGGAGGTGGAGAGTGGAATGCTCGATGCCTACGACCCCGACGACAGCGGCGTGCCGACGAGGACCTCGGGCGAGATGTGGAAACGACTATCATCGTTTTCACACTCCGACGTCGTTGAGCTTATCCAGCCGTCAGATTCCGACGCCGTGGACCTTTCGCAGCCTCCTCCGCACCTTGCGGAAGGAGATACTACAGCTCCAACCGCCTCGCGGTCTCCAGAAGAGTTACGGCTGATGAGCGTTGAGTTGAGCGTACGCCAGCAGCTCTTCGGAATCTGCAAGGCTATGGAATTCACCTGCGCAAGTAAGCTCGCTCGAGTTTTCAGCTCTAGGACCCCCAATCTTGTGCTACGGGCTATTCGAGCTACCGAGGAGCGAATTGCTGAGGCTGAGAGGCTGGGTCTGCAAGAGGAGGTTTTCCTAGGACTTTACGATCTGGCGCTGCTAGGCAGTGAGGAGACTGAGACAGGCGAATGGACGACCCGAAGGTGCACGGCTCTTTTCATAAGAGTCATATGCTTCTGTAATGTCAAGGGGTATCATGACTGGGGGGTGCTGGCTTACCGCAAGATGTGGCTCGTTCGGCAATCCGCCGCAGACGCAGTTCATCTCGATCGCATGAGGTGTCGGAGTCCAGTCTTGAGGTATGCCCGGAGACTGGTAGACAACAATCCCGACTGCATGAAGGCTTTGCTCACGGAGTTAAAATTAGCTGCCGACGTGGCTGCCAGCCTCTTTGCTCTTCAGCTTCATGAAAGGTCCAAGTCGGAGCTGAAGAACGCCTTGAGACTCTTCAACTACATTTCCCATGCCTTTGGGGACTCTTCCACGTGGTACTCGTTGGAAGACACCGTCTTCCGTTGGGCAGAGTGCAATGAGTGCCTCGGTGGGGTGTCGAGAGACCATGGTATGTTCAGAGAGAGTCTTAAATTCTATCAGAATAGCCGAGAAGCTTGGGAGAAGCTGCACCAGCTAACTTTATTTCGAGAAACATGTTTGTTGATTGAGGAATCGCACCCAATCCCAGGTGGCAGGGACCCTGAGGAGCTGCTGGGCAAGGCCATCGAGAATCTCCATGAGATGAAGAGGAGAGGGGTGACCGCCGCGGATGAGGTAGACATGACCACGGTGGATGATTTAATACGCCGGCTCAATCTGAGGATGCGATTAAAATGTATAAGACGGAGAGTGCGATTGCTCAGCAGTGCGCGAGAGGCGACCCCGATGGACGTAAAGGAGGAGGTGATGGTCCTGGCCTCTGGTGAGGAACACAAAGTAGTGGGGATTGTCGCTCGTCTCCATGATGTGATCGAGGAAAAGGAGATAGCTGCGCAGTTGAGAATGGTGGGCCTGACTCTCTTCAAAGAGCAGCAGAGGGCTTCAGGGAAGTTCTCGGAGGTATATCAGTCACAATATGGAGAGACAGAAGCAGCTCAATTCCGTAGTGTGCAGATGGACTGCATAACTCGGCGTAGAATTTCCGATTCCTTTGTCTGGAGTGAATGGTCTCGTCATGGGTTCCTCTCCACTGTCCTGATGGATGTAAAGACCGAGAGTCCTTCCGCCGATGGTGCTGGCAGCAGCAACAGCAGCAGTAGCAGCAGCAGCAGCAGCAGCAGCAGCAGCAGCAGCAGCAGCAGCAGCAGCGACAGCAGCAGCAGCAGCAGCAGCGGCAGCGGCAGCAGCAGCAGCAGTACCAGCGACAACAGCAGTAGCGGCAGCAGCAGTAGCAGTAGCAGTAGCAGCAGCGGCAGCAGCAGTAGCAGTAGTGGCAGCAGCAGTGGCAGCAGCAGTAGCAGTAGCAGTAGCAGCAGCAGCAGCGGCGGCAGCACTAGCAGCACCACTAGCAGCAGCAGCAGCAGTAGGGATGCCAGTAGCAGCAGCAGCAGTAGCAGCAGCAGCAGCAGCAGCGGCTACAGCTCAAACGAGTGTTCTTTTAAGTGTGAGTCGGGAGTACAATCATTATACAAGAAATACAAAAGTGTCTCCCCAGGGGCTCCTATGCGTGAGGCGCTGAATTACAGAAGCATTCTCGCCGAGCGTTTCGAGTCGTACAAGTGTACGACACTGAGAATGATCATGGCGGGTTGCCGCCTGTGTGGCCCAAGGACAACGCTGATCGAGTATCATTACACCGCACCAGACATTGGAAAGGAATCCGATTCCGAGGAGCTTCTGATCTATGTCATTACCATCGAGGATCGCAAGCTGGCGTGCGCTCACTTAAGGTACAAAATGTCGGATGGTGTGCAATTCCACTTGCAGCGGCTGAAAGAACTGATGGAGTCGCATCCTTCGGGACGTGCAGGTTGTTCTTCGTGCGATTCTTTCGATCTTTTACAGCAGCCGACCGCTGCCGATTCCGTATCGTCGGATTCTGCGCCACACTCGGGCTGCTCGGCATCCAGTTGTCATCAGCAGCAGGCCGCTATGGCAACCTCCAGTAAAGGAGAGGGATCCCGACGTGAGCATCCACCCAGTTGCGATCTTCCATCGAACGTCCAGAGGCTTAGTAGTAGGACAGAAGAGCTAGAAAGGCCAGCAGGTCGACAGCAGGTTGAAGGGAATCATCATCCAGCGTGGTCCAATCAAGAAGACAAGGGATGTCGACGGAAGGCGCATCGCGGTCCCTGTTTCTCGAAGAATGCCGCCAGGACAGCAGCCACGAAGGAGGCGCAAGAACAACGAGAGCGGCGACGAATGATGAGGAGCATCCTAGAGAAGTTACACAGACTCCTGATTGAACCCATTAGGCATTGCATTCAGGACCTTTCCCCGGATGACAAGCTCATCATCGTGCCGCATGATATTCTGTGGGGAGTCCCCTTTGCCATGTTACGGGACCCTCGACGACGCTCGCGGTCAAATAAGCCGCATCTAATAGAGCGTCATACGGTGGCGACTGTGCCTGGAGCTCATCTTCTTCCTCTGCTTAAGGAGAGAAGTGAAGATCTGCTTAACAAGATGATGTGCCCTCCGTCTGTTCCCGCATCCAACTCTGAAGGACTTGCTGCTGCTGCAGTCGGAGGGGGAACGAAAAGGGAGGATCATAGAGCTTGGAAGTCCCTCGTTGTTGGTAACCCCTTGGTTATGTCGGAGGACTTTGATGTGGACGATATTGCTTATGCCGGAGAGGAGGCGCAGACAATCCACGACATGCTTCGACCTGGAACTGCCACACTTCTCATTGGAAGCCATGCCACCAAGACTCGAGTGATGGATGCACTCTCATGCGGGGCTCCGCTTGCGCACTTCGCGGCGCATCTGCAGGTTGGTTCTCCAAGGGAAATAGGCGATAGGAAAGATGTATATGGTGCGGAGATGGGGATTATGCCGCTTGCTCGTCACACTGATGATGGCCATCACTCGCCGACTAGGGAAGGGGAGGCTGACATGCATATCATCATCGACGACAAGTCCGCAAAAAAAAACAGACCAGGTGCAGATGGAACTCCTCCTCCATCTGCCAGCGAACCTGGTCCGGAGTTCTGGCCGTGGCCTTCGGATGAAGCCACCAAGAAGGCAAGGCTGCGCCTCGCCAATTCACATCTCAAGGAGGGGGAAGCAACATCAGAATCAGATCTCGATATGCTGCTGGAGGGTCTCTCAGACATCGACCCTCTATCTTATGATGACGGAACTTATCAACGTCGTCACTTTCATCCTACGGGTCTGTCAGCTGAAGAAATTCTTGAGAGCTTCAAAAATGACTTGAGAACTCTCCTGGTAGTCTTAGGCTGCTGTGACTCATCCAAGGGTCGTCGTCACCCCGACGAAATTCTGAATTTTGCCAGGGCGTTCTATGTTTCCGGAGTTCCTTGTGTGGTTTCATCCCTTTGGAAAGTTGATGATGAGGCTACGTTTGCATTCATGGTCTCGTTTTACTGCGCTCTTCGTGAAGGAAAGGATGTCTCCTCCTCTCTACGTGTTGCCATGCTGAGAATGCTATATGCTGGACGGTCATTGCCGACAACTGACACCGCCTCCCCCTCCTGCGTCTCTCTGTGCCCAATGGTTGTCTGCTCTTTCGCCTGTGAAACTAGGGACCAACCTGCTCAGGGCGAGGATGACCAGGATAGTTTTTCTGGTTCCAGTTATGTGCCGCAACTAGACGATGATAGTAATCTCCTTTGGCATGAGGAAGAGGACCTCGTCCGTGCTTGGAATCGTGCGACGAAAATCCTTCTGCCGGAACTTCGCCGTTCGGTACCACCGAATCCGATTGCAGAAGAGGTAGAGGATGAAGAGGAAGGGGATTGGGATCCTTCGGAATGGGGAGCGTTTCTGGCGATTGGGCTTCCCACTCTAAAGATGCCAGACTGGTTGTTTGCATCGTCAACACTAAATACCTGAGGACAAGGACAGGAACTATTTCGACAATCTGTTTCGGGATAATGGCTGGAAACCGCCCATGGCAAACACTTTTTTTTTTTTTTTTTTAAATAATTTGGACCATTTCTCGATTTATGCGTGTCATCCTTGCGCAGGGGCCATGCTCTAATCATCTCTCTCTGTATCGTTCCAATTTTAACGGATGTCCCGAAGGACCAAAAACCTTTTTGGTTTTGGGCTCCCAGACTTTTCCCGTGTGGCAAGAAAGGACTACCGGCAAATGAATCTGGCGCACATACATCTCCAGGTGCATTCAAGCAAGCACACAATACAGGTACGTGGCCGTGGCCAATGGCCATAGCTCCTCGCCAGGGGGACCCTCAGGACATTCAGTCGCGATCCGTCCCTCTGAGTTTCCCTTGCGCGGAAGAAGATGGCGGACGCGTCTTCAAACAAGCAGAGGATACAGGTACGTCGATGGAGATCCAGGGCTGGTGCGTCGATGCGACCCTCAGGACATTCAGCGCCGCCTCCACCGTCATAGCTCCTGCCGCCTTCGTGGAGATCGTTTGAAGACGCCGCCGCCGTCATAGCTCCTGTCGCCAGGGTTCGTACGATCTCCACGACCTTCAGCGGTGCTCCGTCCTGCCAGTCTGGACAACCCGTGAGATCCCGTCAGCAGACTTGACGACGAGTATCGCAAGGCGACCCAATTTTTTCAACGACCTGTTAGCTTCTTCAGTTTGCCATGTATCAGAGAGGGCTAGAAAGGGGAACAGTCTATCTCCTTACAGCGAAGGAGGGGGGCTATGTCTTTTCAGCGGGTGGGTAGCTGTTTACGAGTGACGTAGCGGAAATCTACTCTACCTCAGCCGATAGGGAGTTTTGCCGGTAAAGGCCCGGTATCGCGTTCTTGAGTTGGTCGTTCTGACGGGTGCTCCGATCTCGGCTTGTTTTCTGTTAGATGCTTTTCGATTTATTCATCGTGAAGGTCTTCTTCTGTTTCTACATATGATATCGGGCACCATTCTTCGAGATAGCACTGTTGCCCTGTAACCTGCAAATGACAGGAGTGTGAGGCCTTGTAGAGAGATCGGGGGATTAGTCGAGGGAGAAAGACAATCAATTGGTGAACTGGGGGGTGCTACCAGGACAGCCTATGCGTCCAGGTTTAGTCTAGGTGGCTAGAACAGGATAGCTATGGTTGATGTTGGCTAGGATGACATTGTCTCTGAGATGTAATGCCCTGGCTCAGGGAGGGCTACAGTAGGATTAGAAGGCCAGATTTGCTGATATAGCATAGAGTTCTAAATTTTTTCACATACTAAGCGCCATCATCATTAGTATCATTATCTCACATTTCTCATACAATCATTAGAAGTTCTTCATCGTCATCATCATCATCATAATCATCATCATCATCATCATCATCATCATCAGCAGCAGCAGCAGCAGCATAATCATCATCATATGAGGGACGCTGAGCCCGGTTCTCATCTTGTTCGGTTCGGTTTCTCCGGGTAGACTGTGAGGACCCCAGCCTCAATTCTTATTGGTAATATCAGCCTTGGGCACTGGGCCCGCTTTGTTAAAAAAAAAAAAAAAAAAAAAAGGATTTCTGATTCAAGACTGATTGTATTATTATAGTCTCTCAATTCCTTGAGAACCCTTATTAAAGACCTTTTTTTTCACCCTGTGATTTCATGAATGGTTGTGAATTCTTCTTCTAGATTCTTACCGTTAACTCCTACGGAGTCCTACCGTGAAACGGCTGATGTTCTCGGATTGAGCTATATCTCTTTCTTTTCAGATTATAGTAGTGGCATGTATGTCTGTGGCTATTGCAGATGCTTGTCACGATAAACAAGCAAATTGATAATCCTCAAAATTCTACGAATCTTACTCCAATTAACTCCAATCTCGAGAACCCTCGTGAAATTTCATGTACTTTCATGATAGTATCCTGTTTGGATGGCTTTCACCTTTATGATCAGCGATGTACTAATTACTCTAATTAACTACAATCTCAAGATTTTCTGTTATAGTAAAAGACAATCGAGCTATGTTCGGACAAGTCCCCCTTGAACGGATGGTTTTAATTACTCCAGCTGGTTTTGGGGGGCAAGTGTGACGCACGTGCAGGGGCTCGTGCGGAGATGGTGAGAGAGAGAGAGAGGAGATGGACACACACAAGAAGCAGCAGCTGAGCCAAGGTCCAGTCCGGCCCAATGAACGAATGAACAGCTGAATGAATCAACCTCCCGCCCTGGGCCTAGGCCGAAGTGATATATCGGCCTAGGTCCAGGTACGGGATAACCTGGTACGGGACCAGGGTCAGGCCGACGGCCTGAAACTGGTCCGGCCTCACTGCCGGGCCGTAGGGGTACCGCTACACGATCCTCGGACCTGTGAATGGATCAAGCGATACATCAAACACGCCATCCGTTGAAATAGCGGAAACCCAAAAGGAACGGCAAAAGGACCAATCCTAAATAGGCTCCATGCATGAAAAGGGATGCAATGCAGACTAAGCCTCAAGCCTAATCTATACCATAATGTCTGGTCTGTGTCGACCCAAAAAGGAGAAAAATGTCTGACCTGTGTCGGCCAAGAAAGAGAAAAATGTCTGACCTGTTTCGGCCAAGAAAAAGAAAAATGTCTGACCTGTGTTGGCCAAGAAAGAGAAAAATGTCTCCTCAGTCAAAGGGGCTGAATATAAATCAACACTAGGGCCCTAAAGGCCAAAGAATAACTAAACCGATGTCCTAAGTCGAAAACCAATGTGGCACAGTCTCACGTGCCCTGTACACAATGCACAATACCTGAAGAAAAGAGAAAGGGACTCAGTCGCATGGCAGAAGTAGGAATGGGTGGGAAGGCGGCAGGTACAGCTCTCAGAGTAAACTCCAAGGGGGCACCCACACAACCAGGTAAGGGGTCATCAGGCTCAGAGGGGGAGTAACAACACGACAACGGGCTCAATGGAAACCATCAAACGGGTACCGCCAGCTGAAAGGGGGGAAAAACACTCACACAAGGGAGCACACATAAGGTGAGTCTGGGAGGAGAGACGATTATACCGGCATAGACATGTGGCCAGAAGCCGCGAGCAAAGAAAACGTACACTCCAGAGGAGGGCGCGCAGCATAAGGTAAGGAAGAACGCCAGCGAGCGGACACACCCACATAGACAGGGAAAATAGGGGTCATCATGCGACTGAAGGGTAAGCTCGAGGGTGGTGGATAGGTGGGAATGATGGGAACTCCGTAGCCAAAAAAGTGAAGTAGTCCAACTGATGAGTGTCTGGACTGAAGTCGAACCGAAGTAGCCTGGATGAAGTAGGAGTACCGCAAGAACCGAGTAGAAGTCCGGAACAATGCGACAGGTACTATGGTGCTGAAAAGCGACACTGACGTCGAAAGTCGAATGTAGAAGCCGAAGTAGGAGCCGAATGTAGAAGCCGAAACCGAGAGCTGCTGCATACGTGTCCAGGAATGGTGAGAGACAAAGAGGGTAAAAGGGATAAAGATCAGTAAAGATAACGAGAAGGAAGTCGATGGGTACGCTGAGGGCGAGAGGAATGAACTGCAACAACAGGAGGAACCACATCCACAGGGGAAAGAGGTAGTGGTCGATGGGTACGCTGAGGGCGAGTACCGGTGGAGGAGGAGGACCCATCGATGGAGGGGGGAGAATGTTAGTGGTCGCAGAGGTAGAAGGGTCAGTAGTAGGAGGACGAGAAGTAGGAGGGGAGGCTGATGAAGGGAAAGGATGAGCACGATCGTAAGCACGCACGAAAGTCATAGCATGCTTCAGGTGCTCAAGAGGCTCCCAAGTAGACTCCTCGTCAAGGTAACCCTTCCATTGAACGAGGTACTCGAGGCGGGGAGTTGTGTAACACTCCGTACGACGTACGAGGGGTTTATCGTACGGTCGTACGTACGGCCGTAAGCACAGCCCCGTACGGCAAAAAAAAAAAAAAAAAAAAAAAAACATTTTTTTTTTTTTATCTCCAATTTGGTAACGAATTCCAATATGACCCTGAGGCAAAAGTGTTTCAGTTTATTTCTCTACATAAATTTTTTTTTTTCAGATTTTTTTGAATTTTTGTTTTTTGTTTTTTTTCGGTACGTACGGCCTGTACAACCACATGAGCCCGTACGTACGGCCGTATGTACGTACGGACGGCCCATATTCGCCAGGGAGGGTCACCATCAGTCATACGCCGGGACGCAATATCAGAGACGACAAACTCCTCGTGACCCTCAATGATGATGGGGGAGGGGCGAGGGTAAGATCGACCATGGAACTCGGGGGAAGACCGTCTGAAGGGGCGCAAAAGTGATACATGGAACACATCATGTAAGTTAGCGCGATACATGGAATCGGGGAGCTTCAATTTGAAGCTCACCGGAGAGTCATGATTGGGTACGGCAGGTGCAAGAATGGTGCATGGGCCAGTATATCGACATCTGAATTTCCGAAGTGTGTCAGCTTCGGGCTGGAAGTGACGTGCGTCGACAAGAACATCGTCGCCAACTTTGAAGGGATGGTCGATGCAAGAGCGGTTAGCGCGAGTGGCCATGGGGGTCTGGGAGTCACCAATGCTCTCGCGAGCCTTGCTAAGGAGGGCATCCATCTCCTTTACCCTATCATCGAGGGCAGGACATTTGGTGTCGGGATGGATCTGAGATGGATGAAGAAGGTCAGATGGGACACGGGGATGGTATCCCAAGTCACAGTAGTAGGGAGACATGCCAGCGGCAGGAGAAATAACATGGTTATAAGCAATCTCTGCGTGAGCAAGATGCAGATCCCAATCAGAGTCATTCTCAACAAACTTCTTGAGGATACTCCCAAGATTTTTGTTGGCGACCTCGGTCTGTCCATCTGACTGGGGGTGATAAAGCTCGGAGTCATAGATCTCATGGAGTCCACGCCAGAAATGAGAAGTAAAGCGGGGGTCGCGATCAGAGACGATGCTAGTGGGAAGACCGTGATGGATGGCGATACGGTTGAAGTATAGGGAGGCGATGTCTTTGGCTGAGCTAGCATACTTGCATGGGAGGAAGTGAGCATGCTTAGTCAACCGACAGACAACGACGAAGATGGCGTCATGGCCTCGTGGGGTAGGGGGACGAAGGGGACCAATGAAGTCCATGGAGACAGAAGTCCAACGCTGAGTAGGAATGGGTAAGGGCTAAAGAAGACCATAGGGGGGGTGGTTGGGAATGTTGGCCTCCTGGCATATCCTGCAGGTGCGAACGTACTCCTTAGTGAAGACACGGCGGTGCTCCCA